TGTCCAGACTTTTTTGAATAAGACCCTCCCTTCCAAACACAGGACAATTTTTTAAATTGCTTTTTAAGATTGCACAACCTAGGCTGGGCACGGCGGCTCATGCCTGTAATTCCAACACTCTGCGAGGCTGAGGCAGGACGACTGCTTGGGGCCAGGAGTTCAAGACCAGCCTAGGTAATACAGTGAGACTCTGTCTCTATTTAAAGAGAGAGAGAACGAGAGACAGAGAGACAAAGAGAAAGAGAGATTGGACAACCTCTGCAAAACCTTGACCATACTCGTGTATACTTCAGCAAGGGGGGCATTTGCCTTGTAATTGCCCAAGCTCACCATTATAAAGATAACGATTGTTGGCCGGGTGAGGTGGCTCACGCCTGTAATCCAAGCACTTTGGAGGCCAAGGCAGGCGGATCACCTAACGTTGGGCGTTGAAGACCAGCCTGACCAACATGGTGAAACCCCGTCTTAAAAAAAAAAAGAAAAAAAGAAAAAAAAAGATAACCATTGTTAACTATGCCTAATGGTAATTACTCCAGTTTTCTCTGTATAAAAGTAATTATTGTTACAGAAATAGGTCACAGAATGATGCAAGATCTTGAGTTTTCTGCAGAACAATATACTACAGGCCCATCCCATTAAAAAAATTTTTTTTTGCTGGGTCAAATGCAATTTCAAAAAGAAAAAAATTTTTTTTAAAAAAGAGACAGTGGGCCAGGCGCGGTGCTAGTCAGTAATCCCAGAACTTTGGGAGGCAGAGGCGGGAGGATCACAAGGTCAGGAGTTCAAGACCAGCCTGACCAACGTGGTGAAACCACATTTCTACTAAAAAACAAAAAATTAGCCAGAAGTGGTTCCACGCACCTGTAATCCCAGCTACTTGGGAAGCTGAGGCAGAAAAGTCTCTTGAACCCAGGAGGCAGAGGTTGCAGTGAGCCGAGAGTATGCCATTGTATTCCAACCGGGGCAACAGAGCAAGACTCTGTCTCGAAAAAAAAAAAAAAAGAGAGACAGTATCTTGTTATGTTGCCCAGGCCGTTCTCGAATTCCTGGGCTCAAGTGATCCTCCTGCCTCCCAAAGTGCTGGGATTACAGGTGTGAGACACCGTGCCTGGCCTCACCTCATTCTTCACAGCAGCTGCATAGATTTAGGTTGTATGGATGAACCATAGTTCATTTAACCCATCCACTGACAGCCATTTGGACTGTTTCCAGTTTGGCCCTGTGACGGACAATGCTGCATTTTACATCTCTCTCTTTGGGACTGAGGCTCCTTTTTCACATTCAACCTTTTTCTCTGACAGTGGTGGTGCTTTGGGGGCCAGGCGAGTGACTTGCCACAGTCTAACAGGAGGCTGTTATACCCTCAGCATGGCTCCACTGTGCATTTGTGAAGTATTCTGATGCCCACTTCTGCACCACCCCACATCTGAAAGGCAATCTCGGGGGTGTGGGTGGGCTGGCACTCTTTCAGGCTGTACACAGTGAGGCTCTGTGGAGGGCCTGTGCCCAGCATGTCCCTGCAGCTTGGCCTAAGGGAGAGCTGGAGGTGCTGGCAGGTGCCTTCAGGCTCCCATGAGACTGCCTGCCCACCTCTCCTGGCAGCTGCTGGCAGGCAGTGCACCCAGTGCTGGGGGACTCAAACTCTTCCTTTTTTTATTTTTATTTTTATTTTTTTGAGACAGAGTCTCTTTCTGCCACCAGGTACCAGGCTGGAATGCAGTGGAGCGATCTTGGCACACTGCAACCTCCGCCTCCCAGGTTCAAGCAATTCTCCTGCCTCACAGCTTCTTGAGTAGCTGGGACTACAAGCTTTGTATTTTTCAGTAGAGACGGGGTTTCACCATGTGGGCCAGGATGGTCACAATCTCTTGACCTCAAGTGATCTGCCCGCCTTGGCCTCCCAAAGTGCTGGGATTACAGGCGTGAGCCACCATGCCCGGTCTCAAACCCTTCCTTACTCCTGTCACCTAGGGACAGAGGATAAGTGACTTAACAACTCTGCCTCAAATTCTGCAACTGTAAAATGGCCATGATAGGCATTTCTCTTCACAGGGATGCCAGGAAGATGAAATGAGATGAGGCACATTTGTCACTAAACAGTGCCCAGCCTAAGTAAGCTGTCAGTCAACGCTAACCACGACTATCACAAGCTGACCACCACCAGCTGCCCAATTACGGAACACACCATTACACTCCTTCATGCCCCCAGGTCAGGTCTTTGCACAAGCTGTACCTGCTGTGTGAACCACCATTTCTCACCTTGTCTAAGAAAATTCTAAGTCACTCTTCACTTATGCTGTGTCTGATGGCTAGACCAGCCTGCAGACTCCTCCAGGGACTGGTCTGGCTGGAATCTTCTTTGACCCAGAAACTTTTCTCTGTGCTCCCACAGTGCCCTGAGTTTCTTTCTTTTTATTCCTTTTTTTTTTTTTTTTGAGACAGGGTCTTGCTCTGTCACCCAGGTTGGAGTGTAATGTCACAATCATGGCACACCACGGCCTCAACCTCCTGGGCTTAAGCAATCCTCCCCCCACTCAGCCTCCTGAGTAGCTGGCACTACAGGCATGAAACACTACACATGGCTAATTTCTAAATTTTTTATAGAGATGGGGGCCACCTATGTTGGCCAGACTGGTCTGAAACTCCCGGGCTCAAGCGATCCTCCTACCCTAGCCTCGCAAAGTAATGGAATTACAAGCATGAGCCACTGTGTCGGGCCCTGAGTTACTTTCTTTCTTTCTTTTTTACTTCTTAGAGAAAGGGTCTTGCTCTTTTACCCAGGGTGGAGTGTCACTATGCAATCATAGCTCACTGCAGCCTCAAACTCCTGGACTCAAGTGACCCTCATGCCTTAGCCTCCTGAGTTATTAGGATTACAGGTATAAGCCACTGCACCTGCCTCCCCCGCCCGTACCCTGAGTTCCTTTCATCATCAGGCTGTCGGATCATTTTTCCCATTACTTGTCCATGAGATCTGTGTGTTCCAAGACCAAATGGGACACCTGTCTCTTCCAGGCCCAGGACAAATTTGGTTTAGAAGGGATGGGAGGCAGTGGCAAGGAAGGAGGAGAGTTTGGGAGGGCAAGCCTGGACTCGAGACTGCAAACTCTTCTGTGACAATCCCCAGAATCTGCCTGTCCCCATAAAGCTGCCCTGGGTGGCGTGAGGATTGGGACAATGAGCCAAGGGCCCTGGGGTGACTGTCTCTCCTTTGCCACCTCCCCCCAGCATGGGATGTGGAACAAGTCCATGTCTCTCCTCCCCTCCACCATTTCCCCCATCTCACCTGAGCCTCCTGCACCTTCCCTGCCTGGGTCTCCAGAGGGTGAGAGGCTGGGGGAGGGGAGCAGAGGTGGTTACAGTAGGGAGAACGATTAAGGGGGGAACACAAGGGTTCAAATTGTCAGTGAGGGGGCAAGAACACCCACCAACCTAGTTACACTGGGACGGGGTGGTGGTAAAATTGGAGCAGAGGGAAAGAGGGGATGGGAGAAAATATCTTATCCGCATGCAAAGTGGTGCCCGGGGAGGTGATTAGTGAGGGGCAGAGAGGCTGGGGAGGAAGATTTAGGAGGACAGGGAGAAGTAGGGGCTTTTGCCCAGGCTGGTCTTGAACTCCTGGGCTCAATCGATCCAACCACCTTGGCCTCCCAAAGTACTGGGATTACAGGCATGAGCCATTGTGTCTGGCCCTGACTTTCTTTGTCTTTTACTTTTTAGAGAAAGGGCCTGGCTCATGTCACCCAGGCTGGAGTGCAATGGTGCGATCATAGCTCACTGCAGCCTCAAACTCCTGGGCTCAAGCGATCCTCCTTCCTCCTGCCTAGGGGATTCAGGGCATGAAGGAACACTCAGGAGGAGTTAGGAAGGACGCAGCAGTGTGAGTGTGTGTGCGGGAGGGTTAGGTTTACAAGGCAGAGGGAAGTTTAGAAAGGAAGGGAGAAGGGAGGGGACGCTTCGGCTGGGAGGCAGGTCTGGGAGGGAGGTGCAGTGGTGCAGTGGAGGCGGTAGGTTTGGGAGAGGCGCGGATACGAAGGGAAGCCATAGGAGGGGACAACAGGGGTCCCTCAGCATCCTCCGGTTGCCTCTAACAATTAGGTACCCTTAGCAACAGGGACCGCGGCAACTTAGGTTCTTTGCAGCGAGGGTCCTCAGCAACCAAGATACGAAAAACACGCCATTATTGGCAACTTGGCAAGCGGATGTGATAAACCAACCCCGAACAACCTGCGACCCAGAAACCCACCAGCCTAGCGATACAGATCGCTTAGCAACAACCCTCAGAATCCCACTATCCGAAGCGCTCCCTACTTCCCGCCCCGCAGCGGCCGCCCTCGGGCCCCGGGGCCTGCAGCCTTCAGCTAGGCCCCGGCGCGGCCCGACCCTCCCACCCGGGTCCCCGACTCACGGTCTGGCTCTGCCATGGGCACGGTGCTGAAGCCCTCGTGGCTGTCACCGATCGCTCTGTCCCGTCACCAACCACTGTGTCCCGTCACCGACTGCTCTGTCCTGTCACCGACTGCTCTGTCCCGTGACGGCACCAGAAATGGGAGTGGCCGGGATAGGGCTTAGAACTACAACTCCCAGTAGCCATTGCGGCAGAAGCCGCGCTTTCGTACGACAGCCAGAGCGCCCCAGACTTAGGTAAGAAAGCGCGCTAGGGCCGGACTTCGAGTCCCAGAAGGCGCGGCGTCAGCAGCCATGTTGGTAAAGGGCGCCCGGAAAATGTAAAAACGGCTAGTGAGTCGTAGTCCTCCCAAATACTCTGATTGGTCACGATATGGTACCAGGGTAGGGCGCGAGCGATTCAGCATATTATCATTGGATGAATTAGGGGGCGTGGTGGGGAATTTCCCGCAGGGCGGAAGCGCCAGAACTGCCGGCAAAGCCCAGCTCCAGGCAAGCGACTGCGGGGGGCCCCTGAGGTGGCGGGGGCCATGGCTGGGGTCGCGTGCTTGGGAAAAGCTGCCGACGCAGATGAATGGTGCGACAGCGGCCTGGGCTCCCTGGGTCCGGACGCAGCGGCCCCCGGAGGACCGGGCTTGGTCGCAGAGCTGGGCCCGGGGCTGTCGTGGGCGCCCCTTGTCTTCGGCTACGTCACTGAGGATGGGGACACGTGAGTGAACCTTAGGTTGCCAAACGGAGCCCTAGGACCCGGCGTCTGATTCCCCATTAGTTTCTGATCCCTGAGGCTTCCTAACCTCCTACTCCTAAATCTGATTTCCGATGCTGAACTTCCTGACCTGTAACCCCTGAGTCCTAACTTTTAACAAAACCAATCTTCTATCCAGCTGTGATGCTAACCCAATCATTTCAGACCTTCCTTTCTTGAACTATGATTCTCAGCTCCTGGAATCCACATTCTGTCCACGGATACCCAAACCCGACTCCAGTCCTGAGGCTTTTGTTAGAACTGTGGCTTCTCCTGACTTCGAACCTCCAAATATAATCTTTGATTCTTAGTTCCTGATGTGAGCCTTAGACTGATTTCCGAAATTAATACTTGGTCCCTGACTCTAAGATCTTGTTTTCTGAGCAGTGTTCTTCAAGTCTTAAAAGAGTGAGAATGTAAGTTCTCCTATGTTGAATTCCTAATTGAAGTAGAAAAATAGAAAAAGAAAAAAGAATGTAAGCTCCATGAAACCAAGGATTCATCTGTTGAACAAATATTCTTTACATATTACCACATTCCAGGCTTCGTTTTAGGTGCTAGTGATAAAGGCAGTGAAGAAAACAGACAAAAAACTAAAGCCCTTGTGAAGGAGACGTTTTATTTTAGTGGGGCTAAACAGATTGATAAGACAGCAAGGAAGGAAAGAAACAGAAAGACAGAAAGAAACAAAGACATGCAGAAAGAAAGACACAGAAAGTAAGAGAAGGAAAGAAAGTCACAGGTTGTCAGTACTTTGGAGAAAAATAAAGCAGGAAAATGAGGCAATAGATAAACAAGATAAGAGCATTTCAGGCAGAAGGAACTGCAATTGCAAAGGCCCAGATGAGGGACTGTACTGGGTTTTTTTGTCTGTTGTGTTTACTGCCCTATGCCCAGTGATGCAGGCAGTGCCTGTCCCAGGAAGCAGTTAATAAATACTGATCTTACCAAAGAACCAGCTTTAGGTTTATTAATTTTTGTTAATTAATTTGGTTTCATTAATTTTATTTTAGTTTTCAATTGGTCTTTGATTCTTAGCTCACTCCAAAGTGTGAGCTACTGCGCCTGGCCAACAACTCTGTCCTGTGACTCTTGCAAGCCTGGTCTCTACAGACTCTTCCTCCATGTCCATCTCCTGACCTCAGACAACCTGATGGGCTCTGCTTGGGGTCCCCTCTCTCAACCGTGGCTCTCAAGACCATAAGCTGTGGCAGTCAAGTGTAGGGCCCACCTCATGTTTCCTGTCTTTCGGGGGCCACTGTGATTCATTGCATGACGTCCAGCGTCTTCAACACTGTTGCTTCATATACCGTATTGCGTCTGATTTTTCTTTGTTTCTTGTGGGAGGGAAGTCTGGTCCATGTTACTTCATTTTGGGCAGAAGTGGAAATCCCACTGAATAAACATTGTTGGTTCCACAAATTTGCTGATGAAACTCTGACCTCTCTGACCCTCCCAGATAGCTGACAGTGGGTTCCAGAACTGTGGTCCCAAAGCCTAGCATACAGTAGCCACCCCATGTTTGTTGAATGAAGGAATGCAAGAGGACTTGAATTTTGCCCTCTGACCCCAGTCTTTGTCCCCAGGGCACTGCATTTGGCTGTGATTCATCAGCACGAACCCTTCCTGGATTTTCTTCTAGGCTTCTCAGCCGGCACTGAGTACATGGACCTGCAGAATGACCTAGGCCAGGTGAGCCACGAGGGGATGGAGTAGGGGTTGGGGTCTGGGGTTCCCAGTGTGACTCCCTACTGCCTGTCCTCTGCTTCTGCAGACGGCCCTGCACCTGGCAGCCATCCTGGGGGAGGCATCCACGGTGGAGAAGCTGTATGCAGCAGGCGCTGGGCTGTGCGTGGCAGAGCGTGGGGGCCACACGGCGCTACACCTGGCCTGCCGTGTGGGGGCACTTGCCTGTGCCCGTGCCCTGCTTCAGCCCCGCCCTCGGCGGCCCAGGGAAGCCCCGGACACCTACCTCGCTCATGGCCCAGACCACAATCCCGACACCAACCATACCCCTGTCACCTTGTACCCCGATTCTGACTTGGAGAAGGAAGAAGAGGAGAGTGAGGAGGAGTGGAAGCTACAGCTGGAGGCTGAAAACTATGAGGGTGAGGGTCGCCACCAGGGAAGGACTGAGCTCCCAGGCTAGGTGAGAGCACCTGGCCCTGGGCTCTCTTCCCTGATTCCAGACCGAACTCCTTGGGAAATCACGCCTAGGCTTCAGGAACCCAGGCATCGGGACCAGGGACCTCCACTCAGGGCCCAGATGATTGACAATTGGATATGTAAGACCCAGGATTCCCACTTGGAGGCCCCAGATCACTTGGGACGCAGACCTGGCACTCATAGACCCAGAGCTGCCAGGATCCAGTTGCTGGGCCCTTGGGCTCCCCACCTGCAGGGTGTATTCAAGCTGGTATCCCTACCCCACCTAGGACCAGGGAATGCAGAGCTCAGGCCCTCTGGGAAACTCTGGCACCCCAGGTTCCCAGTGATGGGCAGCAGGGACAGCCCTCCTCTGCCTCATGGGAAAAAGGAGTCACCTGCCCACAGCCTGGCATCCAAGTTTCTGCTCCCTCACCTATAAGCCTGCCCACCTGGTACCAGACCCCTCCTCAGATGGACTGAGGTCGTTCAGGACCCATTGTTAAGGGCCTGCATCTCACCCCCAGATCACAGGCTTTTCAGCCACTTGGTAGCCCCCCCTTTTTTTTTTTTTTTTTTTTTTTTTTTTTTGAGTCGGAGTCCCACTCTCCACCAGGCTGGAGTGCAGTGGTGTGATTTCAGCTCACTGCACCCTCCACCTCCTGGGTTCAAGCAATTCTCCTGCCTCAGCCTCCGGAGTAGCTGGGACTATAGGTGCCTGCCACCACACCCGGCTAATTTGTGGATTTACTAGAGATGGAGTTTCACCATGTTGGCCAGGATGGTCTCGATCTCCTGACCTTGTGATCTGCCTGCTTTGGCCTCTCAAAGTGTTGGGATTACAGGCATGAGCCAGCGCACCAGCTCAGGTCCTTTGTGAATTAAGAGCAGAGACTTAGGTCTCCTGGCCCCAACATCCCAGCCCCCCATCCACAGACCCCAGGCTCTTCACCCATGAGCCCCAGGCTTCTCAAAGCCCAGGCTCTAGCACTTGCCGGCAAGCTAAGGCCATCCGACACACACATTTAGGACCCAGGTACCTCTTTGACATACCCAAAGGTTCAGGAACCAGCCCCACACCTGATCACCCTCAGGCCACGTGGTCCTCCCCCAGGATCAAAGCATGGGGGACCCCTCACCCCATCATCTGATGCGTCACTCTGTCCCCAGGCCACACCCCACTCCACGTGGCTGTTATCCACAAAGATGCAGAGATGGTCCAGCTGCTCCGAGATGCCGGAGCTGACCTCAACAAACCGGTGAGCACCACCCTGGGGGAAGCTGCTGTCGTCAGGAGGGGGCTGGTCCCCTCCTTGGGCCCTCTGACCCTTCTGCTGCACCCACAGGAGCCCACGTGTGGCCGGAGCCCCCTGCACTTGGCAGTGGAGGCCCAGGCGGCCGATGTACTAGAGCTTCTCCTGAGGGCAGGTGCCAACCCTGCTGCCCACATGTACGGTGGCTGCACTCCCCTGGGCAGTGCCATGCTCCGGCCCAACCCCATCCTTGCCCGCCTCCTCCGTCAACACGGAGCCCCTGAGCCTGAGGACGAGGACGACAGACCCGGCCCCTGGAGCAGCAGTAGCGACAGCGACAGCGGAGATGAGGGCGTGAGTCAGGAGGCGAGACAGGGCTGCCCAGCTGGGGGGTCAGGGTAGACCGGCAGGCAGGAAGCAGGAGAAGATAATTAGGTGCACGTGGAGACCGACCTTGGGCTGCTGCTGCTGGAGAACTCAGGCAGGTGGCAGCACCAGTGACATGGGGCACTAGTAAGAACAGACCTGGGTGGGGCGGTGGGAAGAGCTTGGGCAGACGTGGCTGAAAAGCTAAGGTGGTGGCAAAAGTAGAACTCAGCCAGAGTTGGAGAAAAGACCTTGGTCATAGTGAACACAGGCAGGGTGGGTGGCAGCGTCGGAGCTGGAGAATTCAGGTTATGAAAAGACAACCTTGGGTGGCAGTGATTTGAACACCAGCAGCGGTAGGGCAGGACCCAAGCCAGAGGTGGGAGAGATGTAGTCAGAGAACCCAGCAATACAGACCTGACCTTGGGCAAGGTGCGGGGCTGAATGACGGGCATGCAGTAATTCGGGTAAAGGCAGAGGGAAGGGGTGGAGGAGGGCCACCTTAGTTGCCAGAATGCTGGAGTGTCGGCTGGGCTAGAGCTCCGACTATAGAAGTAAATTTGAAAATGGAGTTCTGGCTGGGCACAGTGGCTCATGCCTGTAATCCCAGCACATTGGGAAGCCCAGGCAGGTGGATCACCTGGGGTCAGGAGTTCGAGACCAGCCTGACCAACATGGTGAAACCCCATCTCTACTAAAAATACAAAAATTAGCCTGGCGTGGTGGCGGGCACCTGTAATCCCAGCTACTTGAGAGGCTAAGATAGGAGAATTGCTTGAACCCGGGAGGCAGAAGTTGGAGTGAACCTAGATCGCGCCATTGCACTCCAGCCTGGGTAACAACAGCAAAACTCCGTCTCAAAAATAAATAAATAAAATAAAATAAAAATTAAAAAAAGGAAAATGGAGTTCTGAGAGCTAGGAGCAAGGGAATTTGGGGCAAGACACAATTCTTAGGCTGCTCTGTGAAGACATCTGAGCTCCTCTGCCTGGTCCCCTTTGCCCCCAGGATGAATACGACGACATTGTGGTTCACAGCGGCTGCTGCCAAACCCGGTTGCCTCCCACCCCAGCCTCGAAACCTCTTCCTAACGACCCCCGCCCTGTCTGATTCATTTGATTGTTAATATAATTTCCAATTTAATAAATAAAACCCCAATTCTGAAAACCAGAAACCAGACTGATCTCATCTTCCCGGTCCTCCAGGTCCTTCTGGGGCTCATCCCTGTCACATCACGGAGGCAGGGTGCTTTTCTTTGTGCTTTATTTACTCAGAAGGGTTGGAGTGGGAATGCATGGGGGTGGGGGTGCTTCGTGAGTCAGGGCTGACCCCAGCCCCCTGCTCAACTCAGGTGTGGTTCCAAGGCATGCCCATCTTCTCCCCTGCTCCAGTAGGGGTGTTGTGGGGTGCTGGTGAGGTGGAGGCTTCAGGGTCAACAGACCTAAGCCACAGGGTGTGTCGGGAGGAAGGAGGGCTCGAGGCAGGGGTCAGCCCTCCCTCCTGAGCTGCTGCTCCCCCAGCGTCTCCGTTACCTTCTTCAGTTCGTCTCTCAAGTGCTCCAGCCGCTCCACCTCCTGTTCCTGCTGGGGTCAGAAAGGTGGTGGTCAGCACCCACCTTCAAAGACAGGCCATCGCAGTCACTGTGAACGTGGGCCATGCCGGTTCTCACAGTGGCAGCCAGCAGCAGTCGTTCTGATCACCGTGGACCGTGATGGTGACCATGCTGACCACCATAACCCTGGAAGAGCAGTAGTGGCTAATGTGACCACAGCCAACAGCAGCGGCATGGGACGGGCAAAGGTGCCTGGCATGAGTGCCTTGCGATGTGATAGCACTTTATTTTATTTTTATTTTTTCAATTAAAAAATTTATATAAAAAATATAATATGGAATACTTCACGAATTTTCATGTCATCCTTGCGCAGGGGCCACGCTACCTTCTCTGAATCATTCCAGTTTTAGTATATGTGCTGCGGAAGCGAGCACTTTTATTTTTAAGATGGAGTTTTGCTCTGTCACCCAGGCTGGAGTGCAGTGTTTCGATCTCAGCTCACTGCAACCTCCACCTCCTGGGTTCAAGCAATTCTTCTGTCTTAGCCCCCTGAGTAGCTGGGATTACAGGTGCCCACCATCACACTGGACTAATTTTTCATATTTTTAGTAGGGATGGGGTTTCACCACGTTGGCCAAGCTAGTCTCGAACTCTTGACCTCAAAGTGATCCACCTGCCTCAGCCTCCCAAAGTGCTGGGATTATAGGTGTGAGCCACTGTGCCCGGCTTTTTTTTTTTTTTAAAGACAGTTTTGCTCTGTAGCCCAGGTTGGGAGTGCAGTGGCACAATCATGGCTCACTGCAGCCTCAACCTCCCGGGGTTCAAGCAATCCTACCACCTCAGCTTCCTGAGAGCTGGGACCACAGGGGTGTGCCACCATGCCTGGCTAATTTTTTAAATTATTTGTAGAGTCAGTGTTTCACTATGTTGCCCAGGCTGGTTTCCAACTCCTGGCTTCTAGGAGTCCTCCTGCCTTAGCCTCCTAAAGGATTACCCCTCCCTAGGATTACAGGCATGAGCCACCATGCCCAGCCTGTAATGGCACTTTTGGTTACTGCCACCAATCACGGAGATACCTTGTCTTCCATGACCCAGCAGTGGTGTCTGTCACCTAGTGAAGCAGGCACAGCGGCCACTTTCATGGTGGCCGACTTGCTAGTGACACTGGCTTGCTTCTGTGCAATAATGGCACCATCTTGGTTGCCGTAGTCCATACCGTATATGGAAATAGGAAGTAGAGGCCATGCACAGAAGTTGTTACCCAGTCCTGGGGTCAGTCTTGGTCACTGTGATCTGGTGGTATATGGCCGACACTGGTGGCTGTGGAGTTGTAACTCCATTGACCATCTGGTCAGCCCTCCCTCCACACTGCCTTGGTGCTCCTCCATCATCCCCCACTCACCTCCCTCTCCAAAACTGCCTCCTCCTCCTCCTGCCTGGGCTCAGCCTCTGGCTGGTGGTGGTGGTGGTGGTGTGATGAGTCCTCGTGCCTCTCTCCTCCGCCCTTCTCGGCCCCCTGCCACAGGCTTCGGTCCCTGCCCAGCACTCGCACCCCCTTCTCCTCTGCCTGGAACTGGGCCGTCTCTTCGTCGCTGGCCTTCTCTGCCACCCGCTTCTTGAGGTCTCCTCCATTCTCTAGATGGTACTTCCACAGGTCACTGAAGGTCTCCATGGGCCCCTTCTTCCTCTCCTTCTTCTCCTCTTCCTCCTTCTCCTCCTCCTCATCCTCCTCCCGGTGGAGCTGGCGGTGCCCTTGCTCTCGGATGGCTTGTTCCTGGACCTCGGACTTGTGGATCCTCTCTGCTATGTCCTCCTCTTCCTCATCCCTCACCTCCTGGCTGGACCTCTTCTTCCCAGCCTCCTGCTTCTTGAAATCCCCAAGCAGCAGGCCTTTCTCCTCAGTGGACATGCAGCCGTGGGGCTCTGTCCCGCACATCTCTGGCAGAAAGACAAAGGATGCTCTCTAAGCATCCAATTGGGAAACTGAGGCTGGGCATGCAGGCCCTGTAATTGCAGGAGGCCAAGGTGGCTGATCACCTGAGGTCAGGAGTTCAAATTGGGAAACTGAGGCCTTGAAGAGTTCTGGGCCCTGCTCAAGGTCTCACAGTGGGGGCTGCCCAGACTGGAAGGGGAGGGTACCAGTTCATCCCACCCGGGGGGGACATTCCCTGCTCCATCTGGTCCTTCTGCTGGGAGCTGCAAGGGTGGAGCTGGTAGCCGGGCTCTGTCAGGTGTGAATGCTGGGCAGTGCCCCCCTGGCCCAGGCAAAAGGGCTGTGGGAATGAGGACCCCTTCCTCCAGGAACCCCGGGTGGGAGGGCACATGGGACACCTGGGCAGGACCCTGGGTTGGGGGGTGGTGAGGTCCATTAGGGCTCTGGAGGGCAAGTGGGGCCCGGGACCTCCTTACCTTTGTGGAGAAGAGCAGTGCAGGGTCCCCTCTGGACCTGGCCTACGGTCAGCACCTCTGTGACCACCTCTGCCAGACAGCGGGTCAGCTGGGGGGCAGGGGTACTAGGTGAGAGGGAAGGTTGAGGGGAGGGGTATGGGGAGGAGAATGGCTGGTTTGAGGGCAGTGGGGATCATAGGGCAGGCTGTGCAGGGAGGGCAGGGGCCCAGCTAGGTGAGGCAGGGCAAGGGCTCCACACTCCTCACCTCCTCCTTGGAGGGTCTCAGTGCCAAGGGAGCAGCGGCGGCTGTGGAGAAAGGAGGCTGGTGCTGGGCTTGGGCGCCCTGCCTGTTGTCCCCAGTACTGCCCCCAGCTCCATGGGCGTCCCGATCCCCACACATACCCCATCATCCCACCTGGTAGGTGCACCGTCCCAGCTGGAGGCTTGCCCCTGAAGCCTCTGCTAGGTGCACTACGCGGCCCTGGCCACTGGAGTCCCTGCTCCCTGGCCCCTTATGGGTCCCGCACTCACCTGCTCCCAGCAGAAGCAGCGGCAGCAGCAACAGCAGCAGCAGGGAGGCGGGCCCGCGGCAAAGCATGGTGGGTGTCCGACGGGTCCACGGAGCTGTGTGGGCCGGGACTGCTGCGCCTTATAACCCATGCGGCCCCAAAGGGAGGAAGTGATGTCATCACCACCCCCTTCCCGCCTGCGGCAGGGCAACATCTGCAGGGCGGTCGCCTGCCTGAGACCCTCAATTATTCATGAGGCCCCCACCCTATAAGCACTCCCCTTGAGGCTTCCGGCCAGGAGCGCAGCAGCAGAGGGTTGGGGGCCTCCTCTTTTTTTTTTTTTTTGAGACAGGGTCTGGCTCTGTCACCCAGGCTGGAGTGCAGTGGCGCAATCACCTGCTCACTGCAGGCTCCTGAGCTCAGCTGATCCTCCTACCTCAGCCTCCAGAGTAGCTGGGACCGCAGACATGTACCACCACATCTGGCTAATAATGATTAGTTTTCACAGAGGCACAGTCTCACTTTGTTGGCCAGACTGGTCTCAAACTCCTGGTCTCAAGTGATCCTCTTGCCTGGGGCTCCCAAAGTGCTGGGGTTATAGGCGTGAGTTGCCATGCCTGGCCTGGGAGGGTCTCTTCCCAGAGCAGCAGGGTCTGGTCTCTCGCTCTCCAAGCTGACTGGTGGACCTGGGTGAGGACCCAGAGTTAGCCACTCACAGATGGACCTCAGGCAACTCCTTCCCTTCCTGGGCCTGTTTCCTCATCCAGAGAGGTCTTTTTTTTTTTTTTTTGAGACAGTCTCACTCTGTTGCCCAGGCTGGAGTGCAGTGGCACGATCTGGGCTCACTGCAACCTCTGCCTCCCGGGTTCAAGCGATTCTCCTGCCTCAGCCTCCTGAGTAGCTGTGACTACAGAGAGGGAGACGATGCAAATGTCTGACTCAGGAAGGAATTTGGAGTTTCAACAGCAAGGCAGGTCGGGTGGACCAAGCAAGACAGATGGGCTGAAGAGGAAGGTGGAGTGGCTCAGGTGGGGCCTTAGGAGCTTCAGTGACACTTTGCCCTTTTACTGAGATGAAGCTACAGGAGGCCTCTCAGCAGGGCTGTGACATGACCCAACCGAGGTGCTCACAGGTCCCTCTGGCTGTGGCGAGGACAAGGACGGAGAGCAGGGAGCTAGTGAGGAGGCTTCCAGGGCTAGCCAAGAGGGAGGGACCGGAGGACAAGGCCACGTGGGGTCAGTAGGGAGTGAGCAGCGGGCAGATTCCAGAAATCTTTTTTTGAGACGGAGTCTTGCTCTGTCACCCAGGCTGGAGTGCAGTGGTGTGATCTTAGCTCACTATAACCTCTGCCTCCCGGGTTCAAGAATTCTGCCTCAGCCTAGCTGGGATTACAGGTGTGTGCCACCATACCCAGCTCATTTTTGTATTTTTAGTAGAGATGAGGTTTCACCATGTTAGCCAGGCTGGTCTTGGACTCCTGACCTCAAGTAATCAGCCCGCCTCGGCCTCCCAAAGTGCCGGGATTACAGGTGTGAGCCACCACACCTGGCCAGATTGTGGAAATATTCTGAAGGCAGTGCTGCCCGGATTGCTAATGAAGTGGATGTGGATATGAGAAAAAAGTCGAGGCTAACCTGTGGCCTGGGCAGCCGGGAAAATGTCCTGGGATAGGCATGCCTGGGGAGGAACGGGCATAGGCAAAGCGATGAAAGGACCAGGTGGCTTCGCTGAGTTTACGATGCCTGCGGGGCCCCTATCTGGAGCTGCGGAAGGGACAGTGGAATGGGGAACTGGAGACTGAGGAGAGGGGTGAAGCTGTCCTTCACCCTGGGGTCAGCTTGAAGGAACCCTTGCAGGGTGACTGTTCCGCCTTGTCCGGGAGGAATGGGAGATCTGACATCCTCTCAGCTCCCCTGGTGGCCCCCAAGCCAGCCTCCATGTGTGCTTCGTGGTGGCTAGGCACTCCCAGCCATGGTCCTCACAGCCACAGAGGACAGCGCCTCTGAGCGGTCACCCAGCAGCTCCTGGAAAGCCGGGCATCTCCCTTGCTCACAGATCCACAGAGGCCTTCATCCTGACCATTTATTGGGGACTTTTTGGTCAGCACTGTGGGAGGGAAGAAGGAGGGAGGGATGGAGGCCTCTTCCTCTGCTTCTCCCATCCCTAGAACCGTAAAGCTCAGATGTCCTGCTTCTCATGGGGACCCTCAATGATAACAGGGTCAGTGACTGACTCTGAAGCACAGGAATGGAGGAGAGGTGGACCCGGGGTCCAGGGGCCCAGGCATGGAGCTGATAGGACTGCAGATGTCAGGACAGGCTCCAGAACACAGGTCCCAGGTGTCTGAGATCTCCTGAGCTCCAGGAAGCAGTGACACCCCCAAGGGCTACCGTGGGTGGGTTCTCAGCTTGCAGCAGGCTGGCCAGGGAGCCCAGGCTTCCGGGGCTGGTTGGGGCCGATGTACTGGAGAGGCACGTGGGTGGGGGCCGTGATCCGATCAGTGCCCAGGTAGGGCTGTAGGGCGGGGGGCACAAGCACCGAGCCGTCCTGGGGACAGAGCAGACCTCAGGATGCTGCAGACGCCCTCCCCCTCCCCCACGCTGAGTGGCCTCTCTGTGTGGGACCCTCGACCCCTTACCTTTTGCTGGTTACTCTCCAGGAGTGCGATGAGGAGGCGAGGGACAGCACAGGCAGTGGCATTCACCTGTGAGACAGCCGCACTTGGAACCAGCCGCCCTGCCCACCCCAAGCCTGGCCCAGGGAGGGGCCCAGGTGGGCGAGTCTAGGGTGACAGAGGCTGCGGGGCGAGGGCGAGAGGGCAGGAGGCTGTGCGGGCCTCACCGTGTGGGCGAACTGCAGCTCCCCAGCTTCGGTCTGGAACATGATGTGGAGGCGGCGGCTCTGGAAGTCCGTGCAGTTGGAAGCACTGGTGACCTGGGGTGGGGGGTGGCAGGCTGAGCAGATCGGCGGGGGGGGGGGCAGGTCCATCCTCCTTCCCACCCTGCACGTCCAGTGGAGCAGGGCTCACCTCTCCAAAGTGGCCACGGCCTGGCATCCAGGCCTCAATGTCAAACTTGCGGTAGGCGGGGAGGCCCAGTTCCTGGGTGGGCATGTCCAGGACCCTGCAGCCAAGGTCAAAGGCGTGGTGAAGGTCAGCAGGTGAGAGGAGGTGCAGGGAGAAGGAATGGAAGCAATGGAAGAGAAGGCAGCCAAAAAGCAGGAAAAGGCCCAGGAGTTCGAGACCAGCCTGGGCAACACAGGGAGACCTCGTCTATTCAAAAAATAAAAAAATATATAAAAAGGAGATGATAGGGCAAAGGAGAGTCGTGAGGCCAGGGGTGGTGACGGAGAAGGTGGTATACAGAACGGGAGGCACAGAAGAGGTTGATGCGGGAGGAAAGGCACGTGGCAGGGTCTACCGGCTGTTCACAGTGGCCATTCGCACATTTGAGCATTCTATAACAGCACCCTTGGTTTCCCTTTTTCTTTTTTCGGAGACGGCGTCTTACTCTGTCACCCAGGCTGGAGTGCAGTGGTGCAATCTTGGCTCACTGCAACCTTTGCCTCCCAGGTTCAAGTGATTCTCTTGCCTCAGCCTCCTGAGTAGCTGGGACTACAGGTGTGTGCCACCATACCTGGCTAATTTTTAAAAATTTTGTAAAGACGAGCTCTCGCTGTTACCCAAGCTGGTCTTGAACTCCTGGCTTCCAGCAATCCTCCTGCCATGGCCTCCAACATGCTGAGATTACAGGCATGAGACACCACGCCTGGCCTATACTCCCAGTGATTTTTTTTTGAGATGGAGTTTCACTCTCGTTGCCCAGGCTGGAGTGAGTGCAATGGCGTGATCTCGGCTCACTGCAACCTCCACCTCCTGGGTTCAAGTGATATTCCTGCCTCAGCCTCCAAAGTAGCTAGGATTACAGGTATGTGCCACCACTCCTGGCTAATTTTGTATTTTTAGTAGAGATGAGGTTTCTCCATGTTGGTCAGGCTGGTCTTGAACTCCTGACCTCAGGTGATCCACCTGCCTCAACCTCCCAAAGTGCTGGGATTACGGGAATGAGCCACCACACCCAGCCTACATTTCCAGTTTTTTTACAATGGGTCACCCAGAAAAGCAGCCCACATTTTTTAGCCTCTCCTGAAAGCTGCGTGTGCCTGACAGGGTGAGAGGACGTGGGGTTGGCAACCTCTGGGTTCTCCCTTTCCCAGCCTCGCTTTCCATTGGGTGGTGAAAAAGCTGCACAGATAAGACAGATGAGGCAGCGGCCCAGGGAACGGGGGTGGGGCAGCAGGAGGAAAGGGGCCTGGGTCTCCACCCTGGGGCACCCTGTGCTACTCTTGCTTCTGTTAATCCCATGACAGACCACAGGCTCACGGGCACACAAACCGGAATCCTGTCTCTGCCCCTGTAATCCTTATACAGGAAAATGGGAGCAACAAGAGGGCTGGAGGGTGGTTCGAGACCAAGCAGCTAGCCAGCCCCTCGTCCCTCCCTACCCCACCCCAGCCATCCCAGGGCCCCCAACCCCTCTCCACACCGGAAGTGCAAACCCAGCTCTGTCAAGATCTCCATCTGAAGGGACAGGAACTCCTCCAGCAGCTGTGAGCTCTGCTCCAGCCCAGGGCCTGTCACCCCAAACATCTCCACCTGGGACAGAGGGCAAGGGAGTCAGAAGGCTCTAAGCTGTTGGGGTGACCCCCACCCCAGCCCCGCTTAGTCCCCGCAACACCAGCCTTGGTGAAGTGGTGGACTCGATACAGCCCCCGGGGGTCCTTTCCCGTGTTTGTCTCTGCCCGGTAGCAGGTGCTGGAACAAACCATCCTGGCAAAGAGCAGGGGAGGTCGGGTCAAGGAAGGCAGAGTGGATGTCACAGGTAGGGTCAAGGTCTGAGGAAACCAGGTGTCACCTGACTGGCAGGTCCCTGAAGGCCACGCTGTGATCCATGAAGTAGCCTGGGAGGAGAAGGGGACCACAGGGTGAGCCAGGGCTGCCAGTGCCCCAAGGAAGCCTTTGTGAAAATAAAAGGCACTACCTCTGGTGGATGAAACCAGGTCAAGGCATGGGGCTGGACTGTCACTGTACAGTCGTGCAGTAAACAACCTACACAACCGTACATGTTGGCCCTGGGGCTGCTGAGCTGCTCTAGGCAGGTAGCCACCCCCAGCCGCCCCTGGATGCTCCCAGTTTTCCCCCCACATTGCTCCCGCTCCTCCCCCAGTGCCCACACAGGTGCTCACCTGCAAGCCCCACCTCTGCTGTTCCAGCCAGGTTGAGATCTTCGAAGCGGGAGGGGTCAATGTTGTAAATTTGGGATGGGTTGGCATTTGGTGTCATCCCACAGCCTTCCTGGGGGAGGAGGCCAGGCCACAGGGGTCAGGGTAAACCCAGCCTCCCCCGTTTTACAGTCACAACCCCAGCTCCTCCCCTGGACACATCTGGGGTTGCCCTGGCCTTGCTGGTATGGCCTGGCCCCCTTGACTCAGGCCAAGGGTGGTCTCCTCAGGTCTCCCTGCCTCAGGCACCTACAAGAGGACCTGACACCCAGGTGGCGGAAGGGAGCGGGGCGGCCTCACTCACAAACACTGCTCCTCGGAGAAGGTCTGGCACCGTCATGGGGGTGAAGCCCTGTTCAGGAGAGAGGGTGAGTGAGCGGAGCTGGCACCTCCACCAGATGCCAAGCTCAGCCCCAAAGAAGGGGTGCTGCAGAGTGAGCCAGCGGCTTCCAAAGCCCTTCCTCCTCAGATGAAACTGAGGCAGGGGCTGGAGCAGTGGCTCACAGCTGTAATCCCAGCACTTTGGGAGGCCAAGGCCGGCAGATCACTTGAGGCCAGGAGTTTGAGACCAGCTTGGCCAACATGGCAAAACCCCATCTCTACTAAAAATACAACAATTAGCCAGCATGGAGATCATGCCACTGCACTCCAGCATGGGTGACAGAGCGAGACTCATCAAAAAGACAAAAAAAATTAGCTGGCATGGGATTACACATGCTTGTAATCCCAGCTACTTTCGAGGCTGAGGCAGGAGAATTGCTGGAACCCAAGAGGTCGAGGTTGCAGTGAGCCAAGACTGTGGCCCTGTACTCCAGCCTGAGTGACAGAGCGAGACTCCGTCTCAAAAAAAATAAATAAAAAGTACAGATCTGGTCATGCCCTAGCCTGCTTAAAAGCCTCCCATGGCTCCCCTAGTACCCTCTGGAAATGTCCGAGTCCCTCACCATGACCAATGCTCCATGCAACCAGCTCCTGCCATTTCAATGGATGCTATGATTCACAGATGCCTGTTTATACCACAAGCAGGCAGTGAGGTGCAGCGGTTACAAGCACAAGCTCGAGGCCCAGTTCCAGACTGGCTGTGGAACCTCAGGCTAGGTACCTTCCCTTCTGGACCTCAACCCTCTCTCTAAAGTGGGGATGATGACAGCACCCACTTCATGCAGTTGTCACAAGGACTAAATGTGTCAATGATACACGTGGCAGAGCAGTGACCCCATAGCCCTCTGAGCTCAGCTTCGATGGCACCCCCTCCAGGCAGCCCTTCTATCTTGGCCCATACCCGGCGGAGAAGCTTGTTGAGTGTGAAGTTGACCAGGCCATGCTGCAGGAGGGCCCCAGCCCCTCGTAGGTAATAGGAACGGTGGCCAGACACGTGGGACAGGCGCCTGGGAGACAGAGAGACAGGTGGGTGTGCACATGGGCCAGGCTGGCAGGGAACGTGGGGATGCAAACACCTGGGGGAAGAAGCCCAGCTGCTGGGTGGGGCTGGGGCATCAAAGATTCATGGAATTTCCACATCTCACGCTGAAGCCAAAGGGGCAGGAGCGGCCACCAGCTGTCGGTGTGCTGGCGGCTGGGATGGGGTGCTGGGAGCTGGGAGAGGGGCTCACTTCTGACGGATGATGTCGAGTTT